AATATAGGTTTCAAATTTTTGCTAAATGTTTGATCACCTTCGTTATATTCAGTTTTGATTATTAACGAGGGTGAACTGTACTTGTTAAGTTAAAAATCATGTGTTTTACAAAAGATGGAATTCATTTATTATAATATAATACTTTCAATAAAATTACATTCTTCTGTACTGTACACTGGAAATGGCCTCCAACAAGCTACTCTTTCCCGCGGACCGATTATCACAGAACACGACAGTTGGCAAATCAACTGCATGATGTGCACCAAGACGTCGTAAACTGTTTAAAATTTCGATATAACGACTTTTTGAGCATACTGATTGTTTGACAGGCTCGAAGGGTCACTTTGTTTCATTTTTTCAAGTTATTCTTTTGTAGTGGTGTGATAACTATTGCAGTGGGAATAGTTTTGGTTTCATTATTATATTACGAACCTTTAATCGGAGGATGTCGTGCTAGAATCCACGACATGCTGATAGTGTATGTAGAATGTTGCGATGTTACCCGAACCAAATTTCAAATTTTCCCACGGCCGAAATTAAAATTCATTGGAAATCTTGTAACATTAAAGAAAAGTTTAATTTGAAGTTTGGTAATAGTTTTATATTACTGTCGATCCTTATTGCAAAAAGTCTCACGAAGATCCCCCAACGCCATCTCCTTCAAGCTCTTACATAGCGTGAAGGTGGGTTGTTCAGAGCCCCCGACCAGCGGGGGATGCTTCCGCCTGAAATGCAAGTGTTAGTACGATTATCATATTGTGAATCTGATATATATATCAAATTTTGGCTTACTTGAGTTTCACTTGGCAAAAATTGTGGGATAAAATTAAAATCACCCTTGTTCAAAAATGCAAATCACACGATGTTAGTACATGTAAAACGTAATGGTAGTAGTAACAGTGGCTTGGACAAGTTACATGAACATGTATTTATTAATGTTAACGATCTGCGTACATGTATGATTGTTAATTTTTCTTCCCACGCTTCTTTTTACTAGCGCTATTCACGAGTTGTTTGATTTCTTCGGTTTCTTCTTTGACTTTTTTTACTTTTCAAAGTAAAACTGGAGTGGCTGTTTTTTTGCTGCTGATTTTATCCCGTTATCCTTTCTTTTAACTTTCTCGCTTGTAAGACTTCTAGGTAATTACCTTGTGATAGTATATCCACACTTCTTTCATGCTAGTACTATTTACACTCAGTGCTGAGAGATGTTTTGCGAGTTGTTTCTTTAGCTTTTCTTCTTCGAAGATTATTCTCTGACTTTTTACTTCTTTTTAAAGTAAAACGGGAGTCGTTGATTATTATCTAAAAAAAATAAAAATAACTCACCTCTGTGGTAGTGTATCCACCTGTACCTTTGCGGTAGTGCATCCCATCCACTTTCGTGGTAACGCACCTTTACCTGGAGCGGTGAATCTAAAAAAAATTATAAAATAATCATTTCTGTGGCAGCGTATCCACCATTTATATAATCTTCGCCTACGATAATTCTTTTGAGCATTTGGAAATCATATTTGCAGGAGAATCAAGAATATTTCGTGTAAGTTAGATAATTAGCGTTTAATTTATTTAGCTTACACAAGTCCATGATATTCTAAAGTGTAGGAACTGTTAATTGTTTGTTTCTCGATTCCAATAAATAGCAGTATTCTTCAATGTTGCGGATTAGAAATATCCGAGATGTTGTGTTGTGCGTTATAAAACTTGAAATTCTTATTTATTACTTTTTTTCAATAGATGAGAAAATTTTAATTGCTTTTTCATAAGCTTTGATATACTTTCTTGTACTTTGCACATTAGCAGGTATTACATCATTGATAAACAACAAATGGAAATATTGAATATTTACTTCACAATTAATCAGTTATTCACCATCGGTATATTTGACAAAGATATAATTACACAAGTCTCATGAAGACCCCCCCAAAACGTCATCTCCTTCCTGACCTTGCTTAGCGTGAAGGTGGGTTGTTCAGAGTTCCCGACCAGCAAGGATGTTTCCGTGTTAGTACAGTTATCATGTCACGAATTTGATTTATAATCTAACGCTAACAATCTTTATAGCATACATTTCTAAGAAATCGATATCGATATCTGAGATACTGGAATTATTGGTTTAAATTAATAATATCATTTAGAGAGCGGGAAAGAGGCGCTTTGTTAACGTCAACAGGCAGCAGCTAATCAACGAACTCCTGTTACTTATTACATGATACTCGCGTGAACTATTCCGATTGACGATAGTAAACATGTAAGGAGGCATTACGTCATGTATTCGCGAAAATTCCCATATTCAGATTTAAGGTATTACTTATAAATATGTTGTTGATTTTTTACAGTTATGATTTTTAAACATGTAAGGAGGCATTTACGTTTAGTGCATCTATGTTATGCGCATTTTTGTGATCTGCAGCCAATGACAAAACAAATCCGACACAAGAAGGTAAAAATGAAATAATAGAGAAAACATATGCTTACCTTTAAAAATGTCTGACAACTCCGTAAAATTCAATCATAAAATCGTAGAGATTTCGATGAAAGAGTTCAAAAATTGATAGTTTACTTCGTAAACATTACGTGGCTTTGCTTCATAAAAATAGACAAATTCCGGATATTCATCATTCTGGTCATCCATATAAACTTTCATTTGCTATGCACTGTCACATCGATCAAATTGTAAATTCAAATCATTTTCTTATGATGCTGCAATCAAAGCACAGCTCAAAAAACACACACACACACACACACACACACACACACACAAACTGTCTATGTCAAGCTTTCTAGGCTCAATTATATTGCTTCCTTGCAAAGATTTTCTAGATTTAATCTAATAAAGCTATTCTAATTGCATATAAATTTAATTATTTTTTTATATATTTTAATTATAAAAAAATAATTAATTTTATATGCAATTAGAACAGCTTTATTAGATTAAATCTAAAAAATATATGTTAAAATATTAATATTATCTTTATTTTAATGTAAAAATAAAAAATATTTATTAGTAAAATTAAAAACTTTTATATAAAAAGAAAAATTTATATTTTAATATATTTAATTAACAAATTTTGATATTGTTATATTATTTCTGATTGCTATTATATATATTTTTAAATAAAAAAATTAATAATAAATATTTTTATTAGTTTTTCTCTTATTTTATATTTATTATTAAAAATTTTAAATTTTTTGAAATTTATAATACTTTCTTATTAATAATTTTCGTTTAGTATTCAAGAATTTTAAAATTTTTAAAACTAATAATATTTTTTATTAGTAATTTATAAAAATATATTAATTATATAATTTTATTAATAATTTATAACAATAATATAAATTTTTTTTGTTAGTATATATATATTATTTATTTATTAAATATTGATTTCAAATTAAAAATATTAGTTTAAGTAAGAAATAATTTATTTGATATTAATCAAATTCTAATATTATTTTATTATTAATTTAAATATATTATATATTATATATATTATATTATAAAAGTTTTGAACAAAACTTAAATTAAATAATTTTTAAAATTATTTAAAAAAAATAAATTATATATTTAAATATTTAATAAATAATTTACTTAAAATTACTTATATTAATTAATAAAATTATAAAATTATATATAAAATACTTGTTAAAAAATTATATATTAATTGTTAATTAGAATTTTAACAGAATTTCAGTTATAATAAGTTTCAAAATTTTAGTATTTTATTTATGAATAGTTTATTATAATTTTAATAAATTTTATTAATAAAATATAATAAAAATTAAAATTTTAGTTTATATAAAAATTTTCAAATTTATTATTAATTTTTTTTATTTTAATATTATAAATTATATTTTAATATATATAATAAATACTTGATATAATAATATAATTGGAAAAAGAAATTTGATATCATTATATCAAGATATTATTTTATCAAAAAATTAAATACTATAAAAACTTATTACAGTAATGAAATTAGATAAAGAAATTTTATATTAATATAATAAAATATTATTTTAAAATATATTACTATAACAAGCACTTATAATATTTATTTTTAAATTTTTAAATTTTATTTAATAAAGTAATTTTAATTACAAAGTTATTATAAAAATTTTTATAATTAAAATATAAAATTAATTATAAAAAATTTTTGCAATAATTTTGTCAAATAAAATCTAAAAAATTCAGAAATATATATATAATAGCAATAAAAAAAATTGGAATATTAAAACAAATTTATTAATAAAATATAGTAAAAATATGAACAATTTGAGTTTTTCTCTTTATATAAAAATTTTCAATTTTACTAATAAATATTTTTTATTTTTATATTAAAATAAAGATAATAT